CGGATCCCCTTCTCAAATTCTTGTCTTACCATGGAGGTATTATTCATGGTCTTACATAACAGCCACAAAATATTCCGCACTCTTCTCAGGTCATAGCAATTTCGTGGAAAATATACGCGCGCGTAAGTTGGCAATAGTTACTATAGATTTCGAATGCACATAAAGTTTCCTTAGTGACAGAAAGTGAGACAACAAATCTCAGCAAACCCGAGGATAATCTTATACCTACGTATTTTTACAGCAAATTTTCATTCATCATTATGTCTGACAGTAAACTAATAGTTGATAAACTTCATCAACTAAGTCAAAACCATTGTAAGGAAAACGTAAGTAGAAATCGACTTTAATTATTGACATATTTTAAGAGAGGTGAGAGTTAAGTGCTGTGCCGTAATTCTGAGTTGGAATTAAAATGCAGTGGAAATTATTTTGAGTGACAAATGGTTAAATCAGGGGAAAATAATGAAGTACTGTAATATAAGTAGGCCTATGTTATTAAGAGACAAAACATTTATTGTATTTTTATTATTATGAGATAGGCATAGCCCTAGTTTAAATAGTATGCTGTATTTTAAATATAAACTTTACTATGCTTATTCATATAATGAATAACGGATATTCAGGATTGCCTACGTACGTCCAACTTGCAATTCTGTGTAATAATTAGGCCTATATTATCATTAGGCTCTTTATTATTATTATTATTATTATTATTATTATTATTATTATTATTATTATTATTATTATTATTATTGTTATTATTGTTATTATTGTTATTGTTATTATTGTTATTATTATTATTGTTATTATTATTATTATTATTATTATTATTATTATGAAAATAGATTATTTTTTAAATAGAAATTAAATTTTATATAATAGACCGAATACTGAATTTTTTTGGCAGGCACGCCCTTCTTCCCCATGGTGGCGTCGATTTTCACGATTCCGTCGATTCTTCAATCGCCGTCGTAAACGGAAGGTAAGCATTAGAGTTTTCTATAGAAGTTCATGTCCGGACGTTGAACATTATAGAAATTTACTAGTCCTTTTCTACTAATTAATTTCGTTAATTCTTCAGGTCGTTCCAACATCTCTCAAAATTATTGATGAGGTCTCACCGCAGACTACAACCGAACTCCAACCCAAAGTTGCTGAAGCTCGAGATCTTTCCATTGTAGACTCTGGAGTGCGAGACGGTGCAGCCAGTATCAACTCATTCAAGCGACTGGAAGACGAAATTCTATTAACCTATGGTAGCCCATCGCCTAATACTAAACGTCGTCAAAAAGAAGAGGTGAAAAGAGAAAAAGAACGCAAAAAATGGGATGATCTTCAGAAGGAGATCAGAGACGTCCTTGGAAATAGTGAAGAATTCTCGATCGCCATCGACTCACATAAACAACCGACGACTCCAAAGTCCTACGGCAGTCATGTTGACAAAGAATTCCAGACACCATCAACTACAATTCCTCAACCACTACCAACTTCAGAAACCAGCAGTGATCCTGCAGCCGATGCAGAAAAACATGATAATGCTTTTAAGCTTTCCAATGCATCAACAGTCTCAGAGGAAACTAACAGTCCCACACCTACTGACAAAAAGAACAATAGAAAAAAGTTAAGCGAGGTTTTCAGCTTAGCACGTCTAGGCAAAAGTTCAAGAAAGCAAGTAAAACGTAAGGAACTTGTAGATGATGGGACACAAACACTTACCCAACAACGGTCAGAGGTAAGCACTATGACCAAATTGTTTGACAAGGCCGACAAGACAACGAATACCTCGAAAGTGAAAACCTTGAGCAAATGTGTGCAGGTGGAACGTGCAGCACGACATATCAACAGCATTGATAAAGCGGCAGCAACTTTGACAGTCAACACAGAGACGGCCGCTGTATATGATAAAGTAACCGTATATTCAAACAAGTTACAATTCAATGATGGGCTTGAAGATGAATCGTATGACTCATTTCGAATGAACGAAGACACAGAAGAGCTTGAGTACTTTGCTAAGTACTGGGAAAAAGCAAAAGTGAATACCTATGACGTGACCCAGCAAGATAAAGAGGCTGTTGCAGAATTCATTGACTTGGAAGATTCAGATGATTCCAGCGAAGAGTATGACGTCGATGACAGCCCCCTAACCAACGTCGACCAGCAGCTGAATTCTATCATTACACTTAGTAGATGTCTGATCCAACAAGTTGAGCGAACAAGATCTGATTGGGCTAAAGTGTGCCAGAGCCCAGTCCCCGATTGTCTTGGTATGCACCGAGGGGAAGTTCTGGATCTAATCGCTTGGAATCTTAGGCGCGAATGCAGTCGTCGAATGGAAATGGTTTCTTACAATATGCAGAATGTCGGCAAATTGCAGGAACTTGTTGATGACGTTCGATTCGATCAAGAATGCTACATGCGGCGACTGAAAGACATCTGTGACATTAGGACCAACAAAACATTTTTGAAAAAGAGAGGCAAGTCCAGGAAAATTCTGAAGTCCCGTGATCAGGCCAGAAAGGAACAAGAATTCCGAATGACAAAATCGATTGGACTAATGGAGCCAATAACTGAAGTTCAAGAGATTGAAGAGTAGAACAACTGTAATTATTTCATGCAAAACCCATTTCACAGTATTTTGGTTATATTTTGTGACATTCACCACACTGCTTTCGATGAAATTACTAATAGAATTAATTACTGCTTCTTATACAATATTGCATCAGGTATGGTGCTCTTACAACTTAATTGAATCTACAACACAGGGAAATACTTTTAAATATTACAATTACAAAAAGGATAGACGCACAGAGAATAATAGTAAATTTACGCATGCTAATGTGCACTGAACTATAGTGTGTTTTTATACACATCTAGATGTGTATAAGAGACAGATAATAGACCGAATACTGAATTTTGTTGGCAGTGCATACACATTCTCATAGTTTCACATGTTATTTCTAAGCAAATAAACATAAACATATGTTTAATGTTTACATAGATGAGCACAGACTTCTTGTAAGGTCTTGTCTAACATTTTTCCTGGCAACCACACAACTCGGTACATCTTAATCCATTCTTTCTGCATTTGCAGCTTCCAAGTTCACAGTTTGGGCGGATCCAGGATTTGAAAGAGGGGGTTCAAAACGTTTCCAAAAACACCTAAATGAAAGGGGGTGGGGTCCTCTCCATGGAAAATTTTCCCCTTGAATCCGCCACTGTATGACTAACGCTCAGGTGACCTAGGGTTTTAAAACAAATCGTATATACTCGCGTATAATAGGACGTGGCTTAAAATAGCAAATTACGATCGAAAAAAAGGGGGTAGTCTTATACGCACGACATTCATATTTTAGATTTGTATAATCATGTTCGTCTTATGTGCGGATCGTCCGTAACACGCGAACTTACTACTGTAGTGAAGCAACTAAATGTTGTATGAATGAAAGTAATTTTAAATACGAAAAAATACGATTTTGAGGTAAAGATTTAAAAACTCATAAAATGTTATTATTTGGAAGATTACCCTTGCATTTGGCACCATTTATCTAGTTAGATGCAGTATCAGGACCACACAAAATTAGGAATTCCGACCATGAAACAGGGAGTCGTCTTATACGCCAGACATACAAATATCAACCAAAAATCTCCTAAACTCGGGGTCGTCCCACGGGTCACCTTATAGGACATACGCGAGTATTACGGTATACTGCTTATTATGTAACCCCTGCGGAAGTTCGGGTTCCAGTCACATAATCAACGGTTGGTTGTAACAATAAACTCGCAAGACTGCCCGCGACAGATTGTACAAGTGTGTGGTTGGCTGGGTTGTTTTGGTCAGAAAGGAGAAACTTTGTGAATTGATTCTCGAACGAGATAATGAAAGCTCTCTAATGACTCAAGCTACTGTATGACCATTTTTGATAAAACCAATTTCTTCTAATTTTAAATATGTTTTCCCCTGAATTTGTGATAATTCGTTATCACGCAAGTGCTAAATTCGTGACACATTTATGATCTAGCATGTGCTTCTGCAAAATGTATGTTTCATTTAAAATCACTTTGAAACTTAACGCGGGACTGTCCCGCACGATGCGTGACGGTTGGTAACTATGGCATAGATAACTGCCGGGCCCTAGGTAAAATTGGTAAAAATGCACCTGATCGGACCTAGAGACACTGAGCCTTTAGTGGGGTCTACTCAGGCGAAACTCTTAATGCTCATACATTCTGAGATATTTTTAAACAGATACAGCATTTCAGAAATATCTAAAAAAGTATTTTGTTTAAAAGATTCAAGAATATTGAGAACGAACTATGGTCAAATTATATAGGCCTATATGTTATCGTTTAGGGCCTATTAGGCATTTCATGAATCTATGATATATTATAATATTGATAACATCAATAGAACATGTATAGGTGGAATTTTGTCCAATCCGTCGTGAAATGTAGGCCTACCGAATAGGCC